AGAAGCTAAAGGCGTTGAAAGGGGACTTAAAGAAATGGAATGAGGAAGTTGTAGGCAATGTTACCTGCAGTAAAAATCAGTGTCTGTCAGTAATAGAGGAATTGGATAGGCGGGAGGAGAGTGAGGGGTTGACTGGGGAGGAGAAGGAGAGACATAGAGGATTTAAGGAAGAGATGGAGAGGTTGGTAGAGATGGAGGAGATTAATTGGCGACAGAAATCTAGAGTTACTTGGTTGAAAGAGGGGGATAAATGCACTAAATTCTTCCACAGGGTCGCCAATTCTAATAGGAGGAACAACTCCATCACAGTTTTGCAGGTGGACGGGGTTACTTATGAGGAACCACAGGAAATTGGAAGCCAACTGGTTCATTTTTATCAGAACCTCTATCGGGAGCAATTTGAATGGAGGTCAGAATTGGAGGGATTGCATTTTTCTACAATCAATGAGGATGATGCCCGATGGATGGAGAGACCATTTGGGGAGGATGAAATTAAGGAGGTCGTTTTCAGCATGAACGATGATAAGGCCCCGGGACCGGACGGTTTCTCGTTCTCATTCTACAAAGCGTGTTGGGATGTGATTCGACTGGACATTGTGAATACTTTATCTTATTTTTTTGAACGTGGTAGATTCCAGAGAAGTTCTAATGCCACATTTATTGTGCTCATCCCTAAGAAACCAGGAGCGACTGATATTAAGGACTTTCGCCCCATTAGCCTTGTCAGCGGGGTGTATAAGATTATTTCGAAAGTCCTGGCAAACAGATTAAAGGAGGTACTGGGAAAAGTAGTATCCAAGTTTCAGAATGCATTTGTAAAAGGACGTCAGATTTTGGACTCTGTGCTTATAACGAATGAATGCATAGATTCAAGAATGCGCCTAAGGGCCCAAGGGATGCTTTGTAAGCTAGATATTTAGAAGGCTTACGACCATGTGAATTGGGGTTTCTTGTTATATATGCTCAGGCGCTGTGGCTTTGGGGATAAATGGTGTAAATGGATTCAATTCTGTATTTCTACTGTTTCATTCTCAGTTTTGGTCAACGGAACACCAGAGGGTTATTTCCGGAGCAGTAGAGGCTTGAGACAAGGGGATCCATT